AAATAAAAAGGATTGATCAAAATAAATATATAAAAATATAAATTATTACACAAAAGAAGATTTGAACTGAGTAAATAATAATTTGATAATATTTTTTTTTTTTCGCACATATTTCGCGTTCTTTTTTAGTTAGAATGTTTTTGATTTGTTTATTTTCTCGTTATCTTCGATAACGGATGAACAAAGAATGAACCCAAAAAACTTTAATATTATTCCACAACTTACTTTTTTGTCCTCTTTTTTAAACATCCATGCAGTATCAAACATGTTTTCCTGTTTCGTATTTGCAACACTTAATCACATGTTGAAATTATAAAACGTGAAAATGAAGGAGAAAGCGGAGAAATTACTGATACCAAAATTGAAAGATAATCCAATTAAGGACTTAATGCTTTCATTTAACAAATAATACGCCTCGTCTTTGTGATTTAAATAATATATATGCATTATCATTGCTTAGATAAAAAAGAAGGAGAAGAAAAAAAAAAAAGCTGTCAGTTGTGCATTATTATTTAAAATTCAATAACTTTTCCATTTAAAGAAATTTAAAAAAGTTCGTTAAAAAGTAAACTTAACAATTATAATGAAAATTTTACGCGACGACGTATCGAAACGTGTACCGTATACGTCACATTAGATCACGAGATATCTTAATATGGAAATGAAATTACAATGAATGCGATTAGTAAATTTCAAAGTGATAAAAACATGGATTTCAAACATTTCTCAATTATAAAAACAACAATATATTTCATTTCTTTATGAAAATAATCATTGTTTTGCATTATACTAACTTTACTCCTCACATTTGGCGGATAAGAAACAATGGCGTAATGATTGACAATGGAATAAGCTACACCTGTCAAAATCAAAAAGTTCAAATCTTGATAAGCAAAAAAAAAAAAAATTTTTTTTTTTAAAAAAAAAATAATAATAACACCTTTGTTATATTATTATATTCTTGGTTATATTGAAAATTTTATTTAAATTAAACTAAATTAGTTCGATTAAAAATTTTTGCAAATTTTGTTCATGTTTCACGACTGTAGAATATTCGAGACCTCTACAAAATTGTAATAAATTAATCCATTATAATTATTTCATTGTAATAAAAGACAAAAAAATTTATTTTGGATAAAACTTATTGGCGTGAAATTGCTGCATGATTGTTTTTGATAGTACACAATGAAGACGAATAAGTTAAAAGATAACATGATAAGAGTCATTTCCGAATTTATACGAATTTATACATAAATTCATTGAATGAAATGAATGAAATGGTATTTTTTCATAAAAACAATTATGGTAATGATATCTTTTTGTCAAACATATAGCTGCATGTCAACAAGGAGAGTTTAGTTGTTTATTTGTTTTTTCAGCTGATATAACAAAACATTTATTTTTTTACAATAAATTCACTTTTTCAATATATATGTATCAATTTGATGGATCAGACAGAGTAAAATTACTCAAAAAATTACAAATTATTTTATGTTTTATTATAAGTTTGTCACATACCTTATAAAGAAAAAAGATTTAAATATGTTAAATATGTTAATTTTGATCGGGTTACTGGAGTTTAATATTATCTTCACGTGATGAGTATCAACCAATCAGAATACTTTATTTTGTAAAATATCAAGTTTTATATTTAACTAAATATAAATATTATATTTTATATATAGTTTACAAATGAATTGATCATGTAAAATTTTTAAAAATTTTAAATCGTACTAATCAATAATTCAAATTTAATAAATTTATATTATTAGTTTCTTCAAAAAAAATTTAATAATAATAATAATAATAATTTATTAATATATAATATTAAGCAATTTTTTTCTTTTTTTTATAATTGCAGTGCATTTATAAATTTATTAAAATAACAAATTGCAAAAAGAAGTACAAAAAGTAAATAATTACAAAACTATTTTAATATTATTAATTCATAAACTACTAATGTATTGTAGATTATAACTAATTTTCATCCAGAGTAATTTAGCAATTTTTCACTTAAAGTGATTTAACCTGATAATTTCATTTATTTTTATATAATTTACCTGGTGATATCACTTCATTTAAATTTTATTAGCTAATTAATATGCTGATTATTTCTTATATTTGTTTATTTTTTTTAAATGTACTCAGGATAATCTTTTTTTTCTTTAGGCCCTTTCACTTTTTTACATAACACTCAAAATACGTTTTTTCATTTGCTTCTTGCATTTTGTTTTCTACTAACTTTATTTCATTTTTTTAGGTCTTTTAACTTTCTCAGTTTTGCAATTATAGACATTTCTTATTTTTATATTTCATTTCTTATATTTTGTATTTCACGCTTTTAGATCTTTTAATTCTTCTTTACAACTACTAAGGCCATACAAATTCAATTTTTCGGTTCATATAACATTGAAATTTAAAATTGACTTGAAAACCTGGGGTTTATTGTTTATTAATAAAAAAAGTTTATATATAAAATCGTAATATCTGATTGGTTGACTTTTAAAGGGGAGGTAATTAAAGAATTTATTTTCGCTCCAGAAGTTCTCAGCCACGTAATAAACTTACCTGCTAATAAAATTACATATTGATTACATGATAAACTTTTTATATATAAACTTTTTTTTATTGAAATTTGAAAAAGTGATCCAGCCGGATGAAGTAAACTGAAAAATCAAATTTGTGTGGCTTAAAGTATATTTTTATTTTTTGTTTTCATTTATTTATTACATGTAATTTCCATTCTTTACTAACTTTATTTCTTCTTTTATTTTATGGGTTTAGTTTTTATTTAGTTTCCTGTTTATCTCATTTTCATTTCTTCTCCATTTTTTTGTTTTCTTTTTGTTTTTTTATTTTTTTGTTTTTTTTATTCTTCCCTTCCTTCATTTTTTCCATTGTTCTTTATTTTTTTTTCATTTTTTTCATTTTTTTTTGTTCCCATTTTATCTTTTTTGTTCTTTTATACTACTCTTTATTTCTTTTATTTTTATTTCATTTTCACTTTATTTTTTTTATTTTTTATACTATCCTTCAATATTATCATTTTTTTTTTTATTTCCATTTCATCTTTTTTGTTTCTTTATACTATCTTTTGTTATTTCCATTCCCACTTCATCTTTTTCATTTCTTTACACTACTTTTTATTCCTTTTATTTCACCTTTGCTTCATTTCATCTTTCTTTTATTCTTTTCATTTTATTTTATTTCTACTTGATCTTTTTCATTTTTTTATTTCTTTCACTTTTCCTTTACTTCATTTTATTTCTCCTTTAATCCTCTTTTATTTTTTCATTCCTTTTCATTCTCCCTATTTTTTTCATTTACATTTAACCTTTTTTCTTTTTTTTATTCATATATTCTCTTTTTTTATTATTATGACTTATTTTTTTTGTTATTTCTATCAAAAAATTTAGTAATTTGGATAGTATGAGTTTGTTTTTTTTTCAATTAATGATTTATGTAATCTATTAAAAATTAATAAATTGCTATAAACTTTGTGTAAAAATATTAAAAAATTTTAAAAAATTTACAAAGAATTTATATGCAAATTACAAAA